GGACACTCTGGGAATGAGGCCCAACATTGTGTGTTTTAACAAACCCCCCAGGTGATCGTGATGCATGAAAAAGTTTGAGAATCACTGCTCCGGCCTAGAGACCCTGTATTTTACTCTCTAATAAACTTCCAGTCTTCTTCCAGGTTGAAGGAAGGGAAGTTTCCAAATGAAGCTAGTGCTGAGACTTCCTGAGACAGTGAAACAATTCCATAGGGGATGGGGGTTCTGTGGTGTAAATCTGGTTGCCCCTTTGCTTTTGCCACTGTAGGTTTAAGATTCAGCTTTCTCAGGTCTGACAAATCAGCTATCACTCCTCAATAGCCTTTCCAGATTACAAAACTTTGTTATTTCCTCTCTCGACCTTTTTGTCCAATGTGAATTTGTATTTTGGAATTATCTGAGTGTGATTTCTGGAGGACGCGAAAGTAAATTGTTGTATTTAATCCACAATCAATCTTTACCTGGGAGGCAAGTCAGGTTCCCTGAATCTAAAAGCAACTGGGTTCTGTCTTTGCCTAGTTAACCCCTCTCCTGCTTCAGCTCTCAGCTCAAGCATTTCCTCCCTGAAGTGACCTTTCTCTCTAATTCTCGTAAGAAGAAAAAGCACTCTAACAATTAAAGCATTCTATCTAATCATAGCACCATATTCCAATATTTGTAGCATTACATTCCTCTCCTTGGTGGTTTTCTAGTTGTAACTTTACAGTATTTTTGATCATTAGATTAATTTTGTTTCCCCAATGTATTACTTTCATAGCGCGGGTGCGGAGGAGCCGATAATTTCCCGTCTTAACGCTTTTAGGACGCAGCGAAGGGGACCACGTGGCCGAATGGATAGGGCGTCTGACTTCGGATTAGAAGATTGACGGTTCGAGTCCTTTTGTGTTTGCTAAAAAGTTAGTGCATTTGTAGTAGAAGAATTTCACTTCGTTTTGCTCTTAGCGGCAGTTCCGCTCCGTTTTAATACTTTTCTTAGTTAAAGACGGACATGAGAAATTTACTCATTTTCACCTCAATAGTTTATCCTCTATGTATTTCCCCTCCACATCCTTTACCTTCGTTTTTGTTTCTTTTTCTATCTCAAAGTGTCTTTTTTTTTTTTTTTTTTTTATATCTTTGTCTACCCTCATTACCACCATACAGTCAGTCCATTCTCTCGGGCCGCGCTGCTCAAAATACGGTCGGTGGACCCACAGCAGCCCCTGGGAACTGCTTAGAATCACAAACTTTGGAGGTATATCCCGCAGCCCCAGGATGCCCTCGATTTTCTGAATTAGAATCTCTGGAAGTGGGGCCAAGGAATCTGGGTTTTAAGAAGCTATCCAAGTGATTCTTTTCTGCGCCAGAGTTTGAGAACCACTGGAGACCTTACAATTTGCGTAATATCACGTTCTTCCTGTCCACTGGATTAGAAAGTTCAAACTCCTCCGAGCCTTTTAGCGCCAATCAACCTGACTTCCAAGGTTTCTACCGGAAGACTCGGAGGCGCATGGGGCTTAGGAGGCAGTAACAGGAAAGAGGACCACAAGCTTGACTAGAGTAACTTCTCACACATGTAGAAAGAATGGTAGAATTAGAACAATCACTGTCTGCAACCCCCAGAGTAATAACAGGCCTAGGCAAAGAGCATTATCAATCTTAAAACCATTAGGCAAAGTATTAATGGGAAATATCAGATGTTCGTGGTGCTAAAGTTACCACCCCCACAGATTACTTGCCAACTGGAAAGGGAAAAGATAAAGAACTCTGGGAGCACCACTTTATTTTCATTATTATTGGGATATCCTGAAAGTGCCTCTTGATATGAAGTAAGGACTATATACAGTACACAGTGTCAGGCCAAAAATGTTTAATCTCAATCTAATCAGTTAATCAAAAGGATATAACCAATCCTTTAAACTTCCAGTGTACAGGAATAAGAGAAAACAATTAAAAGATAGCATGAGGAAACAATGAGACAAATCCAGAATGTAGAACATTCCACAAGACAATTGGCTTGGACTCTAAAAAATCAATGTCAAAGCAAAGCAAAAACAACAAAAAACGATGGGAGGCTGGTCTAGACTACAAAGGATTAAGGAAACAACCAAACACAATGAATGACCTTTGATTGGATCCTGGTTAGAAAAAATGGTTCTGAAAGACTTAATGTTATTTTCACTAGTTACCGTCGATTTCTATTAAGTCCTTATTAAAATAAGAAATAAGGTGGAATAGAGGATATGTGGTAACATAGAGTACATTGTAAAGAATCTATGGGCATCTGTAATTGTGGTTGAATGGTTAACACAATAGACTAGAAGTCCATTGGGGTCACCCTGCAAAGTATGAGCATTGACTTTTATGTCTTCATCTCCATCTCTGATTTCTAATTACCATATTTTATTGCAAGCAACTTTTAAAAATATTAGAGTTTATCTCGGCTATTTTACAGATTACCTAACAATGGATTTCTCATTGCCCTGGAAGGAATTATTTTGGATGACTATACAAAGTCAAGGGAATCAATAGAACCTTTTTTTGTTTGTTTGTTTCAGTTCTGAGTTTTCTTGGATTAAAAATCCTGATGACTGAGATAAGCAGTCTAAAAGAAGGGTTTCACTTAGTCACCTGGAAGGACACAGTCTTCCCACCACTTCCTTTTTCTATAAGCACAACAGATGTACTTCTTGATTTAAGATGCAATGTCACCTAAATCAAGAAGTTTGAAAATAGCTACCTGGCCAACCAACTGAAAGAGATCCATATTTGTATCCATTCCAAAGAAAATCGATCCACTAGAATGCGGAAATTATCAAGCAATATCATTAATAACATACCCAAGTAAAATTTTGCTGAAGATCATTAAAAAGTAGTTGCAGCAGTCCATCAACAGGGAACTGCCAGAAATTCAAGCCTGATTCAGAAGAGATTGTGAAACAAAGGATATCAGGCTGATGTCACATGGATCATACCTGAAAGCAGAGAATACGAAATAGATATTTACCTGTGTTTTATTTATTTATTTGAAAATGGATTTTCACCTTTATTTAATTTTCATCAAGCATTTGGGATAATATTTAAATGATTAGCCTGATGAATCACAGCACTATGCTAGAAGAAACAGATTTGATGATGCATTCTAAAATATTTATTCTCCTAACATTCTTAGCTTCCACTCAAATCCCTGTCGAAGTAAATATTTTCTGGTCTGTCTCTAGTAACCAAAATTCCTGCATCCAGCATGAGTAGATAACTCCTGAGCAGGAACCCAGACTGTGGAGAGAAGAACAATAAACATTCTTGCTAATTTCAAGAAGCCAACACATGAACAGACCAAAAGAAGCTCTGAGACCCTTTTCCACATCACATAAACAGGTGCTGCAAGTTAAGGTAATGTTCCCAGGTCACATCAGACAGAGAGGAAGAATAAATTCTCAGGACCTCGAGGGTGAATGAAGTCTTGTGGTAAAAGTACTAAGGAAGGACACGCAAGATTAGTCCAAACTGCTTAAGGGCAGCAACAGCGCTTTCTCTAAGCCAAATCTGAGTTAACGGCAGGACTCAGCCTACTAGGGCAAAGGATGGAATTTGTCCAAACTATTTTTTCAATGGGTAACATAAACTAGGCTTTGTGGGTGTGACTGATATTAATTTTTATTCTGTATTGTAGCTGAGCTCCCCAGAGTTCAGTATGAATGGGAAATGACAGAAGCAGTTGGCACAGTTGCACCGGATGGTCCATCTGAGTCCTGAGCCTGACGAAGCAGCAAATACTCTTCCCCAATCAAAGCCTGAGACTCTGATGTAATATATTGTCCAGTTGAGCACCTTTTCTTTTCAATAAACAACCCACCGTTCGAGGAAGAATTGGGTGAGAGTATTATCAATGCGTGTTTTTTGGTATCTCCAAAAGTTACCTCTGTTTTATTGACTATGCAAAGGCACAGGATGTATTATAACCAATTATGGATAACTTTAGGGAGATTGGGAATTCCAGTACACTTAATTGTACTCATGTGTAACCTGTATATAGACCAAGAGGCAGTCGTTCGAAAAAAACAAGGGAATACCACATGGTTTAAAGTCAGGAAAGGTGTGCGTCAGGGTTGTATACTTTCAACATACTTATTTAATCTGTATGCTGAGCAAATAATCCAAGAAGCTGGACTATATGAAGAAGAATACAGCATCAGGATTGGAGAGAAGCCTCATTAACAACCTGTGATATACAGATGACACAACTTTGCTTGCTGAAAGTGAAGAAGACTTGAAGCACTTACTTACGAAGATAGAAGACTATTCTCTTCAGTATGGATTACACCTCAACATAAAACAAAAATCATCACAACTGGATCGATAAGCAACATCATGATAAAAGGGGAAAAGATTGAAGTTGTCAAGGATTTCATTTTACTTGGATCCACAATAAATACCCATGGAAGCAGCAATCTAGAATCAGAAGACACATTGCATTGGGCAAATCTGCTGCAAAAGACCTCTTTCAAGTGTGAAAAAGCAAAGATGTCCTTTTAAGAACTAAGGTGAGCCTGACCCAAGCCATGGTGTTTTCAATCACCTCATATGCGTGTGAAAGCCGCACAAAATAAGGAAGACTGAAGAAGAATCGATGCCTTTGAATTCTGGTGTTGGCAAAAAATATTGAATATACTATGGACCGTCAGAAGAATAAACAAATCTGTCTTGGAAAAAGTACAGGCAGAATGCTCCTTAGAAGCCAAGATGGGGAGACTTTGTCTCACATACTCTGGATGTGCTCTAAGGAGGGACCAGTCCCTGGAGAAGACATCATGCTTGGTAGAGGGTCAGTGAGAAAGAGGAAGACCCTCAACGAGGTGAATTGACACTGTGGCTGCAACAATGGGCTGAAGCATAACAAGGACTGTGAGGATGAAGCAGGACAGGGCAGTGTTTTGTTCAGTTGTACATAGAGGTGCTGAGTCGGAACTGTCTGGACAACAGCTAACAACAAAAACAGCTACAACGTCACTTGTGAGAGTGGGCCAGTGGCGCAATGGATAACGTACCTGACTACAGATTAGGAGATTCCAGGTTCGACTTCTGGCTGGCTCATTAAGTTCACTATTTTTGAGGTTCCACAATTCTAAAAGGTTACTGTGGAAATACTAGGTTCTGAGAAATGACCCCACCAGGAATTATATTCTGTCACTAACCTTTATTTGTTATGCTTCTGCTGAGTACAAAGTACAAAGAGGAATGAAAGACGTTGGAAAGAACCCGTGGTCTGACATCCTGTAATGATCTCATGAGTGCAGCCTGCTGTTCTCTTCTGTCTCACTCCAAATACAAAAGAGCTCTTGTTGCCTCTTACACTGTTCTGTAGGTTTCATTTGTTTGATTTATTGGTTTAATTTTGAAGAAATAACACTGTCTTAGGCTGGGTTCTTTAGAGGAGCAAAACCAGTGAAGTGTGTATACATAAATACACATATATATCGCTTTGCCAGTGAGTTGATTCCGGCTCATAGCAACCCTATAGTACAGAGGAGAAGTGGCCCATAGGGTTTTCAAGGGGCCGCTGGGTTCGAACTGCCTTTGGTTAGCAGCCAAACACTTAACCACCATACCACCAGGGCCCCCTAATTAAACAGTCCCTTTTAAAATTCTCCAAGAGCCATCCCAGTTTCAACATGCCATCTGTCTACTGTTGAGACCCTGACTGTCAGAAACCCTGATACAGATGATGATGTCATCATGAGTGGCTAGAAATAGTTGAGGGGGGGGTGGCTGGTAGATAATATTATAAATGATTAGAATATGGGACAAAAACATGAAAATAAACATATGCTAGTTTTGTGATAGTTACAAAAATACAGAAGGATCACTGGGTCTTTAGCATGTTTTTTAAGAGGGATATGAAGACCTGGTAGCAAACACTAATAGTATGTGATACTCAAATTCTCTCTCAAAAAAATGATTCTGAAGGACTCAAGACTCAAGGCTCTATTCATTCTGTTCCAGAAAGAATCAGATTTGGTTGTGCCTCTTTTTGCCATTTGAGGAAAATGATGAGCTTTATTATAACCTACAAAAAATGCCATTTACCTTTTGGTGTGCCTTCTCCTCACAAATCTTTAAGGATAATATTGTTGTTGTTGTCGTGTGCCATTGAGTCAAGTCCAGTTCATAGCAACCCCATAGGACAGAGTAGATGTGCCCCCATAGGATTTCCTAACCTGTAATCTTTAGTGGAGCAGATCTCGAGGTCTTTTCTCCTGCAGAGTCGCTGGTGAAACAAGACTCTTGCCTTCAGGGAAGCTCAGAGTTCATTAGATTAAAAAGTGATGATAAAAACAACAATTATATAGTTTCTTAGGATCTACAGCTGGGTAAATTAGTCAGGATTTTTTAAGTTGTAAGTTATTGAAACTAATTACAAATTACTTTATCAGAAAGAGGCACTTGTCAGCTTGCTTTATTGGCTTAGATTGACACTAATCGTGTATTTGTAGCTTTTAGGAGGTTTCTCACAGCCGAAATTCCTGTATTATCAACAACCCAGTCCCTTTGTTTCCTTTTTTTTTCCTGAGGAATTTTCATTTTAGAATTCTCTATTTTTGTTGGCAGAGACTTCCTGTATTCTGAGAAGGCAAGCATAATAACAGGCTTGGATTCGTAGATATGTAGCTTCAAGGAAACCCAGATAACCCGTTGCCTCTAGTCCGACTCATAGAGATCCTACAGAACTACCCAGTAGGGTTTCCAAGGCTGTAATCTCTACATTTTTCTCCCTCAGAGTGCCTTCAGAGTGCTCTACCAGTGCACCACCAGGGATCCTTTTCCTGGAAACACAACCCTTCAAATCACCAAACCAAAGAAAAAATGAAGGCGCTAAGGCCCCGGTAAGATTCAAACTCAAGATCCCTGATGAGACCAGTGCTCTAACCCCTGAACTACAGAGCCTTCATCAAGAAATGATTATCCCCCTTTTCTGAACCTGATGATTGACAAAGTCAAACTTTTGCTTTTCAGTTTTATTTGGTTCCTAGGAAATCTGACATTCCACCTCATTCCTTTTCTGGTTTTCTGGGATGTTTTCAAACAAGTCCCACACTCTGCTAGTTTTAACAGCCCCTCCGTTGACTTTTGTCAAAAGAAGTACAGGACTCCTAATCGGTCTCCTGAGAATTTTGCTCAAATCCAGGATAGTCGAATACCGGGGACTACATCTTGATAAGAGATGGAAATAACACCCTGTCCGTTGTCAACAAGGGGAGTTTGGGGTAGGGACTTCGGTGCCCTCTTGATTTTACTTACACCACACCCTCTGCTCTGCAGTACTTTTCTCATGGGTTGGCGCCCAGATGTTTTCCGAACTTCAGTTTTTAGTGATTTGGGGGAAAACAGGTGAACTCTGTCTCCTGTTTCCCAATACCAGAAATCAAAAAAGAGAGAGCTAGACTGAGGGGGAGGCGGAGGTGGAGGGTAATGGTGAGGCAGCCTGGAAGGGGAAGATGAGGCGACGCCCTGGGAACAAACGCCGAATCCAGAGGCCCTGCCTGTTGTACCCTGGTTTTTGAGGCCGACTGAAAGATTGTTTCCGAGAGTCGATCCCGGTCTGAAATCCCAGGCCGTGTTTCTTATTCTCCACGGGGTGACACTGCAATCCAAATAGAAGAGTCCTGTCCAAGCGCGCTTTGGCAAACCGACAAACAAACCTGTTGCCATCAAGTCGATTCTGACTTGTAGCGAACTTACAAGGACAGGGTAGAACTGCCCCATAAGATTTCCTATGGTCGATTCGAATTGCTGACCTTTGGGATTAGCAGCCATAGCTCTTAACCACTGTGCGACCAGGGCTCCCAAAGAGTCTCACAGGATAAGAAAAGGAATCACACACTCCACCTCATTATCCCTTAGGTCAAGTACAGGCAGATGGAGTTCATAAATGCATTTGAGGAGAAAGAGGGGATATCAGGCCAATTTTGTCACTGTTGTCCAATGCAGGCATACTGAGCTTTTTAGGATTTGGCAAAATCAATCAGTTCAGGATTCAGGAAATGTAGGACTTGGCCTATTGTTTATATGACAATAAACCAGATACTTAATTTTTCTGAACTTTCCTTTGTTGTTATTCATTTCCATCTCTTGTACCTAAGGAAATCTTTGCCTAATTGGAATTTGTTGTCGCAAGCGTTTTCAGAGCAACCATTGAACTGATTTCCAATTTAGGGCTACGTTCAAGAGGGAAAATCACAAATGCAGGGACCCCTTACTGTTCATGTCACAGACCTTGTTGTTCTTGTAAGCTGGATCCTTGAAGCACCTGCCCCCAATGTGATCAGGAGGGAAAAGGTGGGAGGTGGACTTGGGTAAATCTAGACTGCAGCAGTACATTGACAGGGAACTGCCAGAAATTCAAGCTGGATTCAGAAGAGGATGTGGAATGAGGAATATATTTGCTGATGTCAGATGGATCTTGGCTAAAAGCAGAGAACACCAGAAAAATGTTTACATGAGTTTTATTGACTATGCAAAAGCATTCATCTCTGTGGATCATAACAAATTGCGGATAACAATTCAAAGAATGGAATTCAGGAACACTTAATTGTGCTCATGCAGAACCTGTACAAAGAACAAGCTGCAGTCTTTCGAACAGAACAAGGTGATACTGTGTGGTTTAAAATCAGGAAACGTATGTGTCAGGGATGTATCCTTTCAACATACTCATACAATGTGTATGCTGAACAAATAATTGGAGAAGCAGGACTATACAAAGAAGAACACGGCATCAGCATTGGAGGAAGACTCATGTCTTAGTCATCTAGTGCTGCTATAACAGAAATACCAAAAGTGGATGGCTTTAACAAACAGACATTTATTCTCTCACAGTCTAGTATGCTAAAAGTTCGAATACAGGTAGAGAGCCAGCTCCAGTGGAAGACTTTCTGTCTGTGTCAACTCTAGAGGAAGGTCCTTGTCATCAAACTTCCCTTGGTCTAGGAGCTTCTCAGCACAGGGATCCTGGGTCCAAAGGATGCGCTCTGCTCCTGACATTACTTTCTTGGTGGTACGAGGACCCCTGTCTCTCTGCTCACTTCTCCCTTTTATATCACAAAAGAGATTGACTTAATACACAACCTAATCTTGTAGATTGAGTCCTGCCTCATTAACATAACTGCCTCTAATCCTGCCTCATTAACATTATAGAGACAGGATTTACAACACAAAGGATAATCACATCAGATGACAGAAAGGTGGATAATCACACAATACTGGGCCAGCCAAGTTGACGTATATTTTTACATGACACAATTCAATCCATGACAACTCATTAACACCTATGATATGCAGATGACACAACTTTGCTTGCTGAAAGTAAAGAGGATTTGAAGCACTTACTGACGAAGACCAAAGACTACAGCCTTCAGTATGGATTACACTTGAACATTAAGAAAACAAAAATCCTCATAACTGAACCAATATGCAACAACATGATGAATGGAGAGACATATTGATGTTGTCAACGATTTCACTTTATTGGATTCAGAATCAATGCACATGGAAGCAGAGGTCAAAAAAATCAAATGATATATAGCCTTGGGCAAATCTGCTGCAGAAGAATTCTTTAAAGTGTCCAAAAGCAAAGATGTCACTTTGAGGACTAAGGTGCACCTGACCCAGGCCATAATATTTTCAATCACCTCATATGCATGGGAAAGCTGGACAATGAAAAAGGAAGGCCGAAGAAGAATTGATGCCTTTGAATTGCGGTGTTGGTAAAAAATATTGAATATACCATGGACTGCCAGAAGAAACAACAAATCTGTCTTGGAAGAAGTATAGCCAGAATGCTCTTTAAAACTGAGGATTCTGAGACTTCATCTCACATACTTGGGACATGTTATCAGGAGGGATCAGTCTCTGGAGAAGGACATCATGCTTGGTAAAGTAGACGGTCAGCGAAAAAGAGGAAGATCCTCAATTAGAAGAATTGACATAGTGCTGAAACAATGACTGTGAGGATGGTGCATGACAGTGCAGTGTTTCTTCTGTTGTGCATAGGGTCACTATGAGTCAGAATCAACTCCACAGCACCTAACAATAACAAC